CAGCTGGTGCGGTTCGACGATGACCAGTTCGGCGTGTGTGATCTGCTGGCGGCTGTGTGTGTGATGGAGGAGGGGAGCTGGGTGGAGATCGGCGTGGTGATTGAGTGGGCCAGCCAGTGCCGCTACTGTACACTGCCCCTCAACCTCACGGCCGATGACATCAACACACACGCCAACAAGACGGTAAGGCACACACACACAGAGGGGCGGGAGAGAACAGAGAGGCCTCATCCATTCCTCTCTGTCTCTGTGTGTGTGTGTGGTGTAGGCGTATGCATCGTGCCCCCGTGTGTTGGCGCAGCTCATGGTGGTCGGCCGCCACGTCGACTTCGGTGACGGCAGCCGCCTGCAGATCTTCCGCCATGCCAATGGTGAGGTGCGGGCCATCAGAGACGAGCCCGACTTCGAGCTGGACGTCGACCCGTTTCTCGCTGCCGACTTCTATCTGTATCAGCAGCAGCGACTACAGCATGACCCACCAGTGGACAGCCGCATCAATTACTCGGGCCATACCGGCAGGTGGGAGTCGGACTTCCTGTACACCGATGCGTCAGTGTCGTCATTTGCCAAGCGCATGATCCTCACCCACTTTACCGGGACTCATCACACGAATCTCAAATCGATACATCTCAACAGGTACCACACCAATGGCATCAGTGGCGAGAGGGATGCGTGTCTGATTGTGTATGTGTGTCTGTGTGGTTGGTTCAGGCGTGTTGGTGGCGGTCGCCTGGATGGCCTCCTCACCTAGTCGCCCCACACACCGGTGGCCGGATGCACTACCACACTCAGCTGTGACAGTGATGTGCGAGAGCTGGTGCTCACCAACAGTAGTCACAACTTCGTCGCATCCATTATCATTGAGGATGAGGGAGACGACAACATCGGTCAGGCCGACAGATAGGCAGCTCTGGTGGTCACATGTGAAATGGCTTCCTTTCTGATTGTCTGCAGTATGGGTTCGTGTCGTGACGACCGAGGCGCCTGTGGCTGGTGTGAGTGAGGATGCGCCCTTCAAGGACCGCTTTCCGGAGACGACTCAGCTGGCTCGTGTGGCGCTGGGGCGAGTGGCGCCATACGTCTTCGACGGCCAGGAAGACGATGATAGCGACGATGATGACGGTGCGGACAGGGGAGGGAGGGACACACACACACATGGTGGCCATGGATGGATGGATGGCATCTCATCTCTGTCTGTCTTTGTGTGTGGTGTAGATTCCGACGGCCATGGTGGCGGTTGGGATGATATGGATGACGACAGCGACGGAGAGGACAGCGGAGGTACACACGAGGGGGAGGGCACACACAGCGGACGACAGATAGACTCACATCGACCCGCATCACATCCAGGTCTCTGTGTGTCTGCATGACAGGTGACAATGCATCAGCCGAGGAGGAGAGCGGCGACTGATCAACCCAATTCAATACCGGACCAACACAGGTACTCACACACACCACAGCGTGTTCGAATCTTCTGTCTGCATGGGTGTCCTCTATGTGTGTATGTTGGCAGAGTGTTTGCAGGGCCGTCTGTTGCTGCTGGCTGCCCGAATCGACTCATGGCTGTCGGTGATAGAGAGAGATCGTATGCCGCCCACTCTGTAGACAGACCAGCTGCTGACACATGGGTGACCCAATGGCTGTGGATGGGCGACCTGTCTGCGTTGCTCAATCCATCCTCTGTGCATCTCCCTTGCTCCCTCCCTCCCTCTCTCTCTGTTGGTATGTTCCTGTCTGGGTGGGGTCCTGCTTGACTATGGGGATGGGGTTTGTGTGTTGCCCTCCACTGGTGGCCCGCTTTGACCTGATGGCTCGGAGTGTCCTGTATGTGTGTGTTGGCAGGGTGTCTGGTGTACTGTCTGTGGCTGCTGGCTACCTCGAATCGACCCATGGCTGTCTGTGATAGTGACGCATCTCATGACACAGCAGACTGCATGGCGACGTAGAAGGTCCTCTTTGCTGGACAACTTGAGGGGACCATGTCGGTGTGTGTTCAGACCGACCGACACTGTGTGCGACGCCTCCCATGACACAGCAGACTGCGTGACTAGAGGGCCTCTCTCTACAGACCAATGTGAACTGTTCGACTTAATCGACGCGACATCGTGTTTACACACCACACCACCCATGACAGTCATGAGGTCTGGTCGCCTGGCTGTCAATAATGCAGCGCATCGTCACATCAACAAACTCATCGACTCATCAATCCATGGCAGCTTCCCAAAACGGTCACCCCATCAAAACCTCCTGTGCCCCCCCCCAGCCACCTACCCCCATCACATCGGTCAGTCAATGGCCCCTCAGCCCTCGCCGCCGTCCCCATTCTGTTTGGGCATCGTGAGCAGCTCGCGGATAACGACCCCGACCGTGGCGACGCCCCACCCACACCCACCGGCAGTGACCTGAACAGACAAAGAGACGGGCAATGGTGTGTGTGGGATGTGTGAGGATGGTCTTACGGTGCCGTAAGTGCTTTGGCGCATGTCTTGCCGCCTTTGGATTGCATCCCTTGCATCATCGGGCAGCCCCCTCTCTGCACAGACACCCAACCCACACACACAGACAGCCGCACAGTGTATACACAGGTGCGATGGATTTCATTTCTCTCTCTCTGTTTCTCTCTGACCGATTGCCGCGACACAGTCGCCCACAGGCTTCCCCTGCCGCAGTGCCTCGACCAAATTGTCATAGGCCTGCGAATACTTCTGTCCACCCAGCACAACACGACACCACCAAACCACACACACGTCATGGACTGAGCGGCCCTCTGTGTGTGGTGTGGTGTCACCGACCCAGCCACCCACCTTGAGCAGCAGCACGGCCTGCGTGACGGCCCATCGGGCCTGCAGAGTGACGCGCGGTAGCGACCAGGGCGGGAAGATGTCCCGACCAAGGAACAAGCGCTGCAGCAAGTGACAAGACACACACAGACAGATGAGCACTCAGGTGGGTGTGATGCCTCCTCTCTCTCCACTGATGGCACCCATCCCATGATCTCACCAGTGTGGCCTCGTCGCTCCTGCCGCCCTCTGCGTTACCGAACTGAAGTGCCTCTGCGGCGATGCCGGCCATGGTGATGATGGACAGCCTGTCGATGGTCTCACGCCGCAGCTGCCCGCGCATCACCTCCTCCTTGATCTCAGGCACGAAAAAGATCGTACCTATACACACACACACAGCGAGAGAGACAAACACATCGTGCCCTCCGTCTGTGTGCGGTTGTCTGTCTCACTTCCCTGTCCGGCCACGAGTGCCTTCTCTTTGAAGAGCTGCGGCACCGTCACGATGCACCGCTGGATGGGGGCACCCAGTAGGTAGCCGATGAGGAAGTGGCCCGCCTTGTGCTTGACAATCCTCTCCTGATAGGGCGGGAAGACCACCCGCGCGACGCTCTCCGACAGGACCGACCGGAAGAAGAGCGAATCCACCAACACGGCACCACACTGATGGCGAGTGACACACATCGATGTGTGTGTGTGGCTATGGTCCGGTGTGTCACGGGCTGTTTGCTCACCTCCAGAGGCACGAGAATGTTGAGCGTCTCAGGGGGCAGCAGGGCGATCTGCGCCAGGGCGAGCGCCACACCGCTGAGACACACACGCAGACACACGCCATGAAGAGAAATGAGAGGCGGAGTGCTGTGCCTTTGGTTGTTCGGTTCGGCAATGACTTACGCGACGGACCAGAAGACCCCCGAGCCCTTAGGCGTGAGTTTGTCCATGGTGAAGTTGGTGTACTTCTCCATGTCGGCATTCTGCAGCTCCACATTGGTCTCCGCCTGGCCAGCCACCGGCCTTTAGGGGACTGTTATCAAGCGAATTTGAGTCCAACAGCTCACACATGCAGGTGCCACAAAACGGTCCGTCCCACACTCACTCACTCACTCATTCCACTCTGCCATCGAACCACTCTTCCAGGACAAAGCCAAGTACGAATTGAAAGAAAAAGAGCCCTGTGAGGAGCACTCGGAGCCGTTCACCTGCCCCTGTCTCCTTCAACTCTGAGCCCTTCAGGCTTCACAGAATGAACTATATGAAGAAAACTTGAGGCCAGATCTTCGCGACACCCTCGTGGATGACTTCCAAGGAAACCTTAGCGACTACCTTGGCCCACCCTGCTGAAGGGAGACAAACACAGTGGCTCAATCAACGGCCTGTGCTGTACATGTCCATTCACCTGGTTGTGGAGCGCTCTCAGTCTCCGTCTTATCCTGCACTCAAACGGGGAGATCGATGCACGTCCACTTAGACGCATGGCTGCCAGTGAAGTCATTAATGGTCTCTTACCGGGCGCGCGTGTGGTCTGCTCGTATGTTCGGTCAGCAGCCACGGACGATGCTCGTACTCCTGAGGCTGCGACGTCAGGCCTGAGGCTCCTCTGTGCTTGGCGGTGTGGGAGAGGCGAACGGGCGGCACAACAAAGGCAGACACTGTCAGAGGCTGCGTGTGTTGGGGTAGATCGCGCCGTGTAATGCAACTGCATGCTGAGAACCCTGAGCACTCCGAACTGTCCCTCCTTCTCGTGAACCGTCCCTCTGGCTCATCTGTTGCCTTAATGGGCAACGACAGCGATCCTCCACAGCCACTCTCATCTACCGACATGGGCGCAGCAAGTCGTTCTGGCTGTCGCTGCTGAGCCAAGATCTGCCCAGATCTTCGTCACCCCATCGTCCATTCGACCTCCCTCGGTCATCCCTCAGACCCCCACACTCACCGCTCGACTCCCGTCGACTCCCCTCGCCTCCTGACCAAGCTCCACCACGAGATCTACGACCACCATGAGCGACTACGTCAAGCTCAGCACCAGCGACGTACCAACCTTCTCCGGAGATGAGAAGGACTACCCTGATTGGGTACGGTGCTTCCGCACCATGCTGGGGTTCGAGGAATCGGCCCTACTGCGGGACACGGCGCTTGATGAGCACATGCCTATCTCGGTGCAGCAGACGAAGCTCGAGGAGCTTCTGACGCGTGAGCAGGAGATCGAGGACAAGGCCATCACCGCCGAGTACACCAAGGCAGCAAAGGAGGAGGAGCTCAAGCAGATGCACAAGCAGCAGGAGAAGCTGAGGGCATCCATTGCTGCTCGCCTTCACCTGCAAGAACAGCTCCGCCAAGTACGTCCTCGAGCAATACGAGGAGGGCGTCAAGGACACCTACGATGAGTTCGACGGTGTGCTGGCCTTCAAGAGGCTCAAGGCAAAGATGGAGTCCAACCCCGTCTTCGCCGAAATCTCAGCGCAACGTGAGTTCAACGCGTTCGCCTGGGACCTCAGGAAGTCGGACCTAGACAACAACGCCGAGTTCAAGCGGCCGGCCGGCAAGGTCAACGCGCAGAAGGAGGTGCTCACGGCCACAGCGCTCAAGCACGCCTACATCAAGGTGGTGCCGACGACCTACAAGCTGCCGATCAGCGAGAAGATCATCAAGAGCAACGTCACCCTCGACGACGCCATGGAGAGGGTGCGCAAGCTTGAGACAGCTGCAGCGATGATTGGGGCATCGCCTGGGCAAGACGCGAGCATGGGCGTCGGTGCGGCTACGACGCCAATGGACGTTGATGAGGGCGCAAGGGCGGCTGGTGATGGTGAATGCGTCAACTGCAAGTACTGCCTCAACGACGGCCACTACCACTGGGACTGCAAGCGGCTGACGCACGACAAAAAGATGTACGGCATCACCCTCTTCCCGAGCAGCCACCGCATGAAGCGCGCTGCAGAGCTGCTCAAGAGCCACATCGATGAGGTCGAGCGCAAGGAGAAGGAGCGAGTTATCAAGGACAACAACAAGGGCAAGAACAACAAGTACAACAAGGGACATGGTGGTGGTGTGTGTCGTGATCGACATTGTCGGCGCGAGACGCCACGAGACGAGCAGCGGAATGCTGACCGACACAGATGCAATCGCTCACTCACACCGGTACAGGGGAGAGAGGAGGAGCACACACACGTGCATGCTCTTGAAGAGAGGCAGCACAGAGAGGTGCACACACGGTTGGATGGCTGCAAGGTCTCAGAATCCTCGCGTGATGTGGTGACGCCACCGGTCGGGAACGATCGACGCGCTGAGACGACTCACGACACACGGACATGCTTGTCTGGGAGAGAGCCGTGCGTAAGGGAGGGAGATCGGGTGAAGCCTGATCAACTTCTGCCGGTCTCCACTTCCCATCGACTCGCAGCTGAGGAGGGGGTTCCCTCAGTTGTTCAGTGCACAACACACATTGCATGCTTCACGTCTGCTGTGTTATCTGTGAAATCCAGAGCACTGGTTGATTCGAGCTGCAGTTGGCATGTCTTTCCCTCTTCTCGTTACTTCATCAGGCTCGAGACACTCGTGGGTCGCTCTCTGACCATCGCGGACGGCAGGAGCATCGCCGTGACGGCGGTGGGGGAAGTAGTCGTTCCTGTTCGGTGTCGCCACGACGTGGCGCCAAGGTATATCGTGTACTACCCACCTAGACAGGTGTGGTCCCCTCGCCGCGGAGTCGGTGAAACTCTCCCGTGCTCTACTGGTGCCTGATATGGCGTTTACTTTGATTTCAGTGAGTGCGTTGGAGGACGATGGCTACCGAGTGGTGTTCGATACTGATGACTATCACATCGCCCACACCAAGACAGGGATGACCATCCCATTCAAGCGCGAGAGTGATCTCTATGTGCTGGACTTCGCTGAATGCGA